TTCTGGTACTCATTTACTCATTTCTTCTTCGTCTTTATCATCATCATCATCACCACCATCACCATCACCACCACCACTCTTCTTCTTCTTTGTCTTCTCTTCTTCCTCTTCTTCTTGTTTTGTGTCATCATCGATCATCATTATCACCACCTTCTTCTTTCTCCTTCTACTTCTTCTTTCTATTCTTCTTCTTCTTCTTCTTCTTCTTCTTCTTCTTCTTACTTCTTCTTCTTCTTCTTCTTCTTCTTCTTCTTCTTCTTTCTTCGTCTTCTTCTTCTTCTTCTTCTTCTTTTTCTTCTTCTTCTTTTTCTTTTTCTTCTTCTTTTTCTTTATTATTATCACCTGTATCATCATCTTCATCACGTTCTTCTTCATCACCTTTTTCTGCTGCTGCTGCTGTTCCTCATCCTTCTCCTCTTCCTCCCCTCTCCCAACTTTGTCATCTACTTTCTTTTACTTCTTTTCTTTTCTCCCTTTTCTGCTTTTCTTCTCATCTCCCCCCCCCCCCCCCCCTTTTTCCCCCAAAGTTCTGCTTAATTTAAAAAAAAAGAGACCATAGGATTCCAGCTCGCGTTTATCCACTTCATTCTTTGACATCACGTACAGCTAACCTCATATCTTCCCCAACGAATTCATGTTTTCCCCACTGCTCCATATCCGCGACGTTCGACAAAGTACATGCCTGTCGACTGCTGGTGGAGAATATATATCACTGTTTACCGGGACTGTTAAGGTAACTTACTCGGTGGTGATCTGTTGTTAGTTGCGGAAGTTGGATCACTAGTTCGTCCAGGGGGGACAAACGAGTCAGGTTCTATGAACAGATAATTTTAGTAATGGCTGTAGAAGATCTATCAATGGTGAAGTCATAGAGGATACACATGTAACAATTCCTCTTCTCACCATCATCATCATTATCATCATCGTTAACATAGCATCATCACCATACTCATCATCATCAACATCAGTAACATATCTTCATTATAATCAACATCATTATCATCACTGTAACCATGATGAGCACTCTCATTGTCGCCATGCTCAGAGCCCTCATTGTCGCCATGCCCAGAGCCTGTGTGGCTATGGGACAACTGTAGGTGACAATAGTGAATCACGGACTAGCACTTAGGTGACTGCTTAGCGAATACGCGTTCAACAGTCCACGTGAGTTTCCGACTAGGACATCGTTACAGACAAGTGAAGACTCCAGGATTCACGAGCAGTTGACTGGCCTGACGGTGAACGGCAGACTGGACAAAACGGATAAAGGGAAAGGGTTTTCAAGGAGTTGGCTCAGAGACCTGGACTGTGACGTGCTGTTTCTGACGACGAGAGTTTTCGTAGTTGCTTCCGTTTAGACACGTAGCGACAGTTTAGGAAATGTTTAGTGCTAGTGTGCCGGTGTTATAGTTAAAGTGTGATTAGGAATAAGTAATTTAACTGAATGTTCTTAAGAGAGAATTCAGTGTGATTAGTGTTAGTTGCTTGAAGCATTCACTTGATTATTAATCTGTGTTTAACGAGGTGGTTCGAGCACATCTGTTTCTTAGATCTGATCTCTCAGGCAGGTGCACTCCGACTTTGATGCAAACACCCCTAGTTAGCCGCCTTTCACGATATGCTTGTTGAAAAAATGGTGTGGGCAATGGGTGTATTTTTTTTTTTCATTGTATAAAACAAAGTGTTAAAACTAATAGCCCCATGTTGTTACCGTGCTCAGCTCAAAAGTGAAAAGTTTTGTAACGAGTTAGGGTTAGTTCCACGAAAGTCTCCCTACGAACCGCCATTACACACACTAGTTCACTTTTGATTGGTTGACCTTGAGTCATCCGACCTTCGCACACTGCTACGGAAGTGTTCAATGAATTCCAGAGAAATTTGACTAAAAAGCTCAACAAAATGGGAAAAAGGAAAACGTGCACAAAACAACACAACGTAACGTTTCGGCCAGGCAGCCTTTTTCAAACACAAGTGGACTACACAAAAGAGGAATGGAGAGTATGTAGATCTCTAAGGGGTGACGTGAGCGACGTTTAAAAAATGTGATGCGGAATAAATGAAATAAAAATAAAATAACGATGGCTAAAAAATATAGTCACAATACTGGAATAAAAGAAATGCAAGTGTTAATGATACATAAATGATATTGATAAGAAATAGAATATGGTAATAATATGAAATAAAATAAAATAATTAACATTTAAAATGTAATAAGATTAGAACTATTTAGATGAAGGTATGTTGGATATTGATACCTCTTGGACTAAGAACGCCAAGGCTGTGGATAAGGCGATTTTCCAAAGCGAGGCGGGTAGTATGATCGCCAGAGCAAGATTTTAATGCTGTGACAGATATGTCATCTTTACCGCTGTGGTCAGGGCTATTAAAATGAAGAGGGATTGGTTTGAGTGTCTTCTTGTCGATATCAGAGAGGTGTTCCCGGAAACGATCAGCTAGCTTCCTGCCAGTCTCCCCAATGTATGCCATGCTGCATCGTTTGCAGATAATTGCATAAATTACGTTGCGGGATTCGCAAGTAAAAGGTTCCCTAATTTGAAAAGAACCATTAGGGAAACTGACCGAAGAAGTCTGGACAACGAAAGGACATGTTTTGCAGGTGCTGCGTGAGCACTGAGTAGTCCCAAGAGGAAGTGCTGTATGAATCGGTGGGAGTCGGCTTCGGACAAGTATGTCTTTAAGGTTGCGATCTCTTCTGTAAACTAATCTAGGAAGTGTTCACTAATGACGTTGATATCGCGTGATGTATATTTAAGCATGCCAGTGCTTTTAACACTACAAAAACATTTAGAAACTTGGTCTAAGACACAGTACTCCCAGAGAGTGCTGCTACCTATATAACAGGCATTCTCTTTCTCTGAACAAAACTTAAATGCAATACAAGCCAGAAAGGAAAGGGTTCCTAATACGTTAGTCTTCCCACATTATATAGGTCAACTCTACTGATAAGTTTGTTGGACTAGTCTACAGTGGTCGAGGTTATGGGTGTCGCGGTCTCTAGTTGTCTTGCATTTACGTTTTTATTCCGAGAAAGAGACGGCCTGTGACATAGGTTTCGTCACTCTCTAGTTGTGTGTGTGTGGGGGGGAGGGGGGAGGAGGGGTTGTGTGCTGACCCAGTATTCCAAATGGTTTTGTAGTGTTAAAAGCTCTGGCATGGTGAAATATACAACACGCGAAATCAGCTCCAGTGGAAAATAGCTCCGTGACCTTGAGTGAAAGTCGGATCGCTCGAGGGCGACCTATCAGAAGTCAGCTAGGCTAGAGGTCAACTAATCAGAAGCGAGCTAGTGTGTAAGTAAAGTAAAAAAAAAATAAAGTTCCCCTTTCACGCCTTTCGGCGCATCGGGCATATGGGCAGAGAGTCCCATATTTTTACAGACCATCAGCACTCTGTGGGTAAATGTGGTCAGCATTACGCCGGCTGTCTTTACTTTCCCAGTCTCGTCAAGCGCCGAAGGTTGGGGCAGTCTGTGGTCAAGTGCTCTATGGATAGCACCACCGTTTATCATTCCGGGTCGATAAAGGGTTTTTCAACTCTTTGGGTCCGGGGGGGGGGGGGGGGGGGGGGGGGGGGGGGGGGGGGTTAGCATCACAGGCCCAATGGGTAGGGAAGAGAGACTAAATTCTACGCATCAAGCGTTAATTGGGCTTCTAGTAAAAACCTATAAACGTCTGATGCGTTCTTTTGGACACAGAGGCAATAGCATCATCCAATCTTCCTCTTGGATGCTCTCCTTCCTGTGCATCCTATTTTACTGGGGTGTGACGCCTGCTGTTGGTGATAGTTGTATGCATTCTAAAGCGATGACGGAACCATTCTATCTTCTGCTTCTCAAATAATTTTATGTACGGTGCTGTTCTCAGTGTGTCTCTTAGTATTTTTTTTCACTCTTCCTGTACAGTTAAGTCGGCAGCTTCCCTCGGCGATCTCATCGGTATCCAAAGTAGTTAAAGAAATAACTGAAAGACTAAATTTGGCGTGAGTAACAGGGAGGATAGAAGATGAATGTACCTGTTGGCGTTTGCGGACCCCATAGTGTCGTTTTAATTGCTGTCAATCCCTCCTCTGGAATAATAAGGAGAAAATAATGCGATTCATGATTCTGCGAATGTTGAATTAAATTACATTTCAAAAGTTTGTCTATCATATGATAATGTATTAAGTAACATTACCCTTGAGCCGTTAGGGTCGTGGAGGTGTATCGAGGGGAGCACTGGCACTAAATCCTGCCATCTTTCTCTGTCTTCCGCTTGAGGAACAAAGGTTTGCTAACTTAGTCCTGTCAATTATCTTTATGTTGCCATTCCAGATTCTTCTTTGCCCTCCTCTTCTTCGACTAACCACCACCACCCCCTTTTTATAACAGTTGTTTTTTTAACAGTCTTTTCAGTCGAAGTTATCCTGTATACAGTTTTTACGTCTGCGGTGTATTCATGTGTTTTTATAGCCCAGTTTGCACTCAGCACGTCACAAAATTTTGTTAAAGTAAAAAGTAAAGATGACTTTTTAAGCCTTAAGGCAGGCGTATGAGGCATGAGGGAATAGCGCCCATATTTTTACAGACCAATCGGAACTAGGGGGGCAAAATATTGTAGCGATGCTAAATTGTGCTTTCTTGTCTTTAGTGTGAAATCAAACTCTTACTATACAGTTGCATATGGTCAGATTTTATGTATGAAAGCTAACAGGCTTCGGTAGTGAATCTCTGTCTCGGATTACTTTTGAGAGATTCAGATAGATTGGTCCAGATTGAACCCTAGTCCTGGTGCACCACAGCCATACCATCTCCACCACCACCACCACCACCAGTCATTTTGTTTTTCGTTGGCACAGGAGCGGTGTAACTATAGGGTGACCCGTTTACTATGAAGCTGAAACTAAGATTACCAGATTACCAATTACCAGAATCAATTAGTAGTTGCATCTGCTCTGTACACTCCCTTTGTATCCCACAGATCTATCTATCTATCTAATCTATCTATCTATCTATCTATCTATCTATCTATCTATCTATCTATCTATCTATCTATCTATCTATCTATCTATCTATCTATCTATCTATCTATCTATCTATCTATCTATCTATCTATCTATCTATCTATCTATCTATCTATCTATCTATCTATCTATCTATCTAATCTAATCTAATCTAATCTAATCTAATCTAATCTAATCTAATCTAATCTAATCTAATCTAATCTAATCTAATCTAATCTAATCTAATCTAATCTAATCTAATCTAATCTAATCTAATCTAATCTAATCTAATCTAATCTAATCTAATCTAATCTAATCTAATCTAATCTAATCTAATCTAATCTAATCTAATCTAATCTATCTAATCTAATCTAATCTAATCTAATCTAATCTAATCTAATCTAATCTATCTAATCTAATCTAAATCTAATCTATCTAATCTAATCTAATCTAATCTAATCTAATCTAATCTAATCTAATCTAATCTAATCTAATCTAATCTAATCTAATCTAATCTAATCTAATCTAATCTAATCTAATCTAATCTAATCTAATCTAATCTAATCTAGTCTAATCTAGTCTAGTCTAGTCTAGTCTAGTCTAGTCTAGTCTAATCTAGTCTAGTCTAGTCTAGTCTAGTCTAGTCTAGTCTAGTCTAGTCTAGTCTAGTCTAGTCTAGTCTAGTCTAGTCTAGTCTAGTCTAGTCTAGTCTAGTCTAGTCTAGTCTAGTCTAGTCTAATCTAGTCTAATCTAGTCTAATGTAGTCTAGTCTAGTCTAGTCTAGTCTAGTCTAATCTAGTCTAGTCTAGTCTAGTCTAGTTTAGTCTAGTCTAGTCTAGTCTAATCTAGCCTAGTCTAGTCTAGTCTAGTCTAGTCTAGTCTAGTCTAGTCTAGTCTAGTCTAGTCTAGTCTAGTCTAGTCTAATCTAGTCTAGTCTAGTCTAGTCTAGTCCTAGTCTAGTCTAGTCTAGTCTAGTCTAGTCTAGTCTAGTCTAGTCTAGTCTAGTCTAGTCTAGTCTAGTCTAGTCTAGTCTAGTCTAGTCTAGTCTAGTCTAGTCTAGTCTAGTCTAGTCTAGTCTAGTCTAGTCTAGTCTAGTCTAGTCTAGTCTAGTCTAGTCTAGTCTAGTCTAGTCTAGTCTAGTCTAGTCTAGTCTAGTCTGTCTAGTCTAGTCTGTCTGTCTGTCTGTCTGTCTGTCTGTCTGTCTGTCTGTCTGTCTGTCTGTCTGTCTGTCTGTCTGTCTGTCTGTCTGTCTGTCTGTCTGTCTGTCTGTCTGTCTGTCTGTCTGTCTGTCTGTCTGTCTATCTATCTATCTATCTATCTGTCTATCTGTCTATCTGTCTAACTGTCCGTCTGACTGTCGGTCTGTCTGTCGGTCTGTCCCACCGTCCGTCCGTCCGTCGGTCCGTCCGTCGGTCGGTCCGTCGGTCGGTCCGTCGGTCGGTCCGTCGGTCGGTCCGTCGGTCGGTCCGTCGGTCGGTCGGTCGGTCGGTCGGTCGGTCGGTCCGTCCGTCGGTCGGTCCGTCCGTCGGTCGGTCCGTCCGTCGGTCGGTCGGTCGGTCGGTCGGTCGGTCGGTCGGTCGGTCCGTCGGTCCGTCCGTCGGTCGGTCGGTCGGTCGGTCGGTCGGTCGGTCGGTCGGTCGGTCGGTCGGTCGATCGGTCGGTCGGTCGGTCAGTCGGTCGGTCGGTCCGTCCGTCCGTCCGTCGGTCGGTCGGTCGGTCGGTCGGTCGTCGGTCGGTCGGTCGGTCGGTCCGTCCGTCCGTCGGTCCGTCCGTCGGTCCGTCGGTCCGTCGGTCCGTGGGTCCGTCGGTCCGTCGGTCGGTCCGTCCGTCGGTGGGTCGGTCGGTCGGTCGGTCGGTCGGTCGGTCGGTCGTCGGTCGGTCGGTCCGTCCGTCCGTCGGTCGGTCCGTCGGTCGGTCGGTCGGTCGGTTGGTCGGTCGGTCAGTCGGTCGGTCGGTCCGTCCGTCGGTCGGTCGGTCGGTCGGTCGGTCGGTCAGTCGGTCCGTCCGTCGGTCCGTCCGTCCGTCGGTCGGTCCGTCGGTCGGTCGGTCCGTCAGTCGGTCCGTCCGTCGGTCGGTCGGTCGGTCCGTCCGTCGGTCGGTCGGTCGGTCCGTCGGTCGGTCCTTCCGTCGGTCCGTCCGTCCGTCCGTCGGTCCGTCCGTCGGTCCGTCCGTCCGTCGGTCCGTCCGTCGGTCCGTCCGTCGGTCCGTCTGTCGGTCCGTCCGTCGGTCTGTCCGTCCGTCCGTCCGTCGGTCCGTGCGTCGGTCCGTCCGTCGGTCCGTCCGTCGGTCCGTCCGTCCGTCAGTCCGTCGGTCCGTCCGTCCGTCCGTCTGTCCGTCTGTCTGTCTGTCTGTCTGTCTGTCCGTCTGTCCGTCTGTCCGTCTGTCTGTCTTTTCGTCTGTCTGTCTGTCTGTCTTATCGTCTATTTGTCTGTCTGTCTCTGCCTTCCTCGCTGAGCATCGTAAACAAGTCAAATGTGTCCCATGTTACATCTGCAATGAGGCTTGGCCCCACTCCTGCCAACTCTCACCTGTACACTTTAAAGAATATCTTACCTGGTAAATACTCTTTCGGGGATTGGTTGTCCTCTGATGCTTGTCTTTTTGATTCTTGGGAGATGTTGGATATGTTGGAGATATTATCGGATGGCTTCATTTCATCAATATGTTGCTAGGACAGAGAATTATAATGTGTGACAAGCTAGAAAGAAAGAATTATAATGTGTCACAAGCTAGAAATAGAGAATTTTAATGTGTCACAAGCCAGAAATAGAGAATTATAATGTGTCACAAGCTAGAAATAGAGAATTTTAATGTGTCACAAGCTAGAAATAGAGAATTATAATGTGTCACAAGCTAGAAATGGAGAATTATAATGTGTCACAAGCTAGAAATAGAGAATTTTAATGTGTCACAAGCTAGAAATAGAGAATTTTAATGTGTCACAAGCTAGAAATATAGAATTTTAAATGTGTCACAAGCTAGAAATAGAGAATTTTAATGTGTCACAAGCTAGAAACCGAGAATTATAATGTGTCACAAGCTAGAAAGAGAGAATTTTAATGTGTCACAAGCTAGAAAGAGAGAATTATAATGTGTGACAAGCTAGAAAGAAAGAATTATAATGTGTCACAAGCTAGAAATAGAGAATTTTAATGTGTCACAAGCTAGAAATAGAGAATTATAATGTGTCACAAGCTAGAAAGAGAGAATTTTAATGTGTCACAAGCTAGAAACAGAGAATTATAATGTGTCACAAGCTAGAAAGAGAGAATTGTAATGTGTAACAAGCTAGAAACAGAGAATTATAATGTGTGACAAGCTAGAAATAGAGAATTATAATGTGTCACAAGCTAGAAATAGAGAATTATAATGTGTCACAAGATATAAATAGAGAATTTTAATGTGTCACAAGCTAGAAATAGAGAATTATAACGTGTGACAAGCTAGAAACAGAACTGTTATGTTAAAGACGTTAGAAACAGATTATTGTTACCTATAATTTGCTAGAAGCAGAGAAATTTAATGTGGGACTTGCTAGAAACAGATAATTGTTATGTATAACATGCTAGAAACAGATAATTGTTATGTATAACATGCTAGAAACAGATAATTGTTATGTATAACATGCTAGAAACAGATAATTGTTATGTATAACATGCTAGAAACAGAAAATTGTTATGTATAACATGCTAGAAACAGAAAATTGTTATGTATAACATGATAGAAATAGAGAATTTTTATATATAACATGCTAGAAACAGAGAATTGTTATGTATAACATGCTAGAAACAGAAAATTGTTATGTATAACATGCTAGAAACAGAAAATTGTTATGTATAACATGATATAAATAGAGAATTTTTATATATAACATGCTAGAAATAGATAATTGTAATTGGGACATGCTTGAAATGGAGAATTCTAATTTGGAACATATACAGTCTATATAAGATTTTGATTCATAAAACCATTAGTGCTATGTGGCAATAAACTTTATGATAGTATGTCATCATCATGTAACAGGTCCTTTACAGAACGTCGCTCTCGTCATAGTCTTCCTGAAAGAAACTTGGTCTCTCGCCAGTTCTCCCCCCTTATGTACTTTCACACTCAAGGAGTCACTTATATCCTGTGTCCATCTTCGTGTGGGTCGGCCCCTGCCCCTCCTTCCTGGTACCATGCCTTCTGCTATAATTTTTTTCCAATCCGTCGTGGCGCTTGATATGACCAACATTTTTCAGCTTTCGAAAAAGGATGCTGTTAATTAGCCAATCTTCCTTGATGTTCAGATCTTTTAAGATGTCAATATTTCTATTTTTCTTGGTCCAAGATATTCTGAGAATCTCTCTATAGCATTTCAGCTCAAAAGCCCTTATTCTCTTTTTTTTAGGGACTGAGAGATAGTCCACGACTCACATCCGTATGTAGCCACAGGGAAGATGCATGCTGTCAAAATTCCAATTTTTATCTCCTACTTCAATGATTAGTTTCTTGGGATAATAATGTGGTAGTTTCCCTTTGATTTTCACATCCAGATGGCTTTAGACTACGTCCTCAGACTTCAGCAACCTTTTCGATTGCTAGGGCACGTGAGTGCCCTGCTCTGTGATACTCCTGCTAACAGCAGAGGGCACTCCAGAGGTGTCCACTTATCCCGGCAGATACTCGGTGCCCATAGCTGCGTTGGCCACACCGTAGATGATAGTATGTGGGTCTTGAAAACTACCTCTATCAATGCATAAATACAACTACATTTACCCGATTCGCCACAGGCTTAAAGGAGCCCTTTATCACTTTCATTTATTCGAAAGAAAATGTTTGATACTTACAGTTCCTTCAGTTGGAACACAGGGCAATCGTGAATGCAGGGCGTGGTACCTGCAAGCATAGGAACAATATATCATTTTAGAGTTGTTGTTTACAAAGACCACTGTATATAATGTATGGATAGAATCAGTTTACTGCGTGTGGCGACACACTATAGCGAATTATTGTTTGAATGTACTTTTTTAATACGTGTAGGAGTATTGTTTACATAGTCTCCTTTCCTACACTTTGTGATTTTGATAAGGAAGGGGTGAAAATGGGAAAGAGCAAAAAGAGGGGGGGGGGGGTGGCGGTTTGCACATTGGAGCAGTGTCGTCTGGAATAACGGATAGGTGCCATCAAGTTCCGAAACTTTAATTGTTTGAGTAAATTATCGGGAAAGTGGGGTGTCTTGTAGCAGTAGTGGTAGTAGTAAGAAGTAACAGTAGTAGCAATAGTAGTAGTGGTCGTAAAGAAATAGGGGGGGGGGGAGGAGGAGGAGGGTATCCGTAACAGTAGTAGCAGTAGTAGTGGTGATCGTGGTGGGGTCATAAAAGTAGTAGCAGTAGTAGTGGTGGACGTGCTGGGAGTCAAAACAGTAGTAGCAGTAGTAGTGGTGATCGTGGTGGGGAAATAAAAGTAGTAGCAGTAGTAGTGGTGGACGTGCTGGGAGTCAAAACAGTAGTAGCAGTAGTAGTGGTGATCGTGGTGGGGTCATAAAAGTAGTAGCAGTAGTAGTGGTGGACGTGCTGGGAGTCAAAACAGTAGTAGCAGTAGTAGTGGTGGACGTGATGGGGGTCATAACAGTAGTAGCAAAAGCAGTGGTAGTCGTGGTGGGAGTCGTAACAATAGTAGCAATAGTAGTGTTAGTCGTAGTGGGGGGTCGTAACAGTATTAGCAATAGTAGTGGTGGTCGTGATGGGGGGTCATAACAGTAGTAGCAAACCCCAACTCAATGACGTAAACTACCCGACGCAGGTGAATTTTCGGGTCCTAGTATATAAAATAAAAAAGAGATGAGACTGAAGGTTCTAACCTGACACTTGTGGAAGTACTGAGTTAATATAACTGTTGTCTCAGGTGTGACAGTACATGGGAGCTTAGGCACTTCAAGCCCCCCCCCCCCCACTACTTATTTTGTAAGAGGGTTTAGAGGGCCATCTTGCTCTAATAGCCATTAAAAAAAAATTTTTGTTAAGTTTTCAACACATCTCTTATTTCAAATATATCATTTATATTGATTTTCACCTCATTTTATTCATATCAGTCACTTCAAAATAGGATCAAACCCCTTAAAGCCCCCTCAGAAAATGTGTAAGAGGGCTGGGGGCTCCCTCCCCACCAGTTTCCTCTGTGTCATCGCCCCTGGAGTGTCTGTAGTCTTCTAGAGTCTGCAAGTTGCAGTCTTTAACCACCGAATGAACCTTTACTAGGTTGCATGGTAGCGAAAGGGATATGGATCGACAAAGTAAAATAAACATTCAGTCTTAGACTTAACACAAAACCCGCAACCAAGACAAGAAAATAAAAAATAAAAATTCTACATTGGACGACAGGTTACATCGTAACCGGGTAGGGGTACCCTAATATAACTAATATAACAAACAGCAGAATCAGTAGAGAAGCAAGATTATTATGGTCTATATAGAATATGGCACCCGAGTGTAACCAGAGGGTCTGGCCGGTTTACTAAACTCAGAGGAAAGGCAAGACGGGCATATAACCAGATTGTGACCGGTACCATCATTACTGGAACTATGCGCTGGCTGCTGAAGATGAGGACGGAGCACTCATGGGAATGCCACGAGTGCTGTGATGTCAATTCTTGACTCAATTCAACTCAACTCAAATCAACTGTGCTGAATGGCTAAACACTAAAGCATTTGATAAAGTGAAACATAAAGAAATCATTAGAGTTGTGGAGACCTTAAACGTTAAGAGTAAAGATCTGAGAATAATTTGTTTAAACCTATACTGACAACAAGAAGCAGCCGTAAGGACTGACAACAAAGTTGAAACTTTCCAAAACCCTAAACAAGGTATCAGACAGGGATGTGTACTATCACCCGAGCTATTCAATTTGTACAGTGACATAATAATTAGATTCATACATGATATGCCAGGAATAGCGGTTGATGAGCATACTGCGAATAACCTGCGATATGCTAAAGATAAAGTTTTGATCGCTAAAGATTTAATACAACCTCAAGAAACATGGGTTTAATTGTAACGGCAATTCTTAGTTTGAACCGTAAAAAAAACAGAAGAAATCGTAATTACAAAGAAAATTGACACTCCAAAATACAACGTCAAACTAAGTGGGACAAACCTCAAGCAAGTTTACGTACTTTGGTACCCTGATAACATCAAATGGAAGAATTTGTTAAGGAAATTAAATCTAGAATAGCTCAAGCAAAGGTAGCATCTTACGAGGTGAATAATATTTAATGCACTATTTATTTGTCAAACGAGACGAGTAAGAGAATTCTCCAAAACTGTATAAATTATATCTTGATTTAGGAAGTGAATCATGGAAAACTTATTTGGCAGCAGAGATGTGGTTTTATAGAGGAATTATGAGAATACCCTATACAAATAAACAGCGTAATAAGGATGTATAGAAAGAAACTGCCTCACAAATGGAACTTATTGCCCATATCAGAAAGAGAAGATCTACATTCTTTGATGGTGTGATAGAAAGAAGAAATCTGGAGTGCATCGTGACTTTAGAAAAGTTGAAGGGTAGGAGAGGCAAAAGGAGACCGAAAAAAAAGATACTGGACAGTCCGACATTATAGCATGGTGGATTATCTATGTAAGAGGTGCCTGAAAGTACACGAGATAGAAGGTTGTGGATAGACATGACTACCAACGCCACACGGCATGGACTTTAAGAAGATGTGGCTAAACGGTTAAACAGGGTTTCCGGAATTTGTAGCTGTTAAATTCTGATCCGACATAATGCAAATCTGGAGAAGGTAAAATAAAAAAGAAACAAAGCAAAAAACAAAACAAACAAAATCGGAGACGAACTTGAATGCCTGGCATAGGAAGCTGTTTCCGGCGTTGGTTTCGAAGATGTGGCTGTATTTCTCAGAGAGCGCCACCAAGTCTGCTGGAGGGATGCACTCAAAGCTGACGTGACGAAGCAGTTGGTCCAAGAAGCCGATCCGTTGTAAGTAATTGTACTGGATCCAGCTGATGATCATCTCCACCGTCTCCGCCTCGTTGGTGACCATGACCTCAGGGTCCATGAGTATTCCTTCAAACTAGAACAAGGTAACAGTTTTATTTATAGCCTCTATTGGAAACTAAATGGTATGGGCTCATCTGATAAATAATGTAAGCTACATACTTCCCTGTGTGTGCTACGGGATCCCACTGTGGGGGAAAACAAAAAAAGACCCACTGCCTCCCCATTAAGCATATCGTAGGAGTCGGCTAATTAAGGCCAACCTTTGAAATCTAGAACAAGGTAACAGTTTCATTTGCAGCCTCTATTGGAAACTAAATGGTATGGGCTCATCTGATAAATTATATAAGCTTCATACTTCCCTGTGTGTGCTACGGGATTCCACTGTGGGGGGGGGAAGGCCCACAGTCTCCCCATTAAGCATATCGTAGGAGTCGGCTAATTAAGGCCAACCTTCGGAATCTGAGCGCATCTGCCTGAGAGATAAGGGACCAACAGTCTGCATAAAAACAAGCCAAATCTTTAAGGCCGGGTGCACGCAACACTTAAGTTCTGGAATAGGACTAAAGTCTGGAAGTGAACTAAGAACCAGAACTTTCCGCAGACGTTTATAGTCGGTAAACGCGCAGACAAAAAAAAAAAAAAAAGAAGATTCATACTGTCACAGAGCAATCAGCACTGTGTGGTTAACATCATACCGGTAGCATTTTCTTTCCATAATCCATGTGTTAGCATGGGCCAGGGAACTAAGTTGAAATTTGAAGAAGAGTAAAAAAGAAAAAAAAACACTTGAACTCATTGAGGATTTCAACAACAGACTGTCGGATCCGCAGGTGAGCGTTTAGCCACTATGTTTTTGAGCTCGAAAACTACACTTAGAGCCCTTGATACTAAGTCTACCTTCAGGAAGCTAGTTGTAGATTCCTAAAGACTCAGACGCCATTCCTTATTTCTCCTGAATATAAATTGTTTAAGTTTCTTTTTAATATTTAGGGTCGGGTAGGGCAAAGGATCGTTCGTATTATGTTGATTTAGAACTAAACTATTAGTGCAGGTGCCCCGAACTGTGCAGGGTAGTTTTTCCATCCAAGATATTGAAAGGATGGGACGGAATAGAAGACTCGACTGAGAGAGACCACACATACTGGACTAAATTCCATCCACGATATTGAAAGGATGGGACGGAATAGAAGACTCGACTGAGAGAGACCACACATACTGGACTAAATTCCATCCACGATATTGAAAGGATGGGACGCAATAGAGAACACGACTGAGAGAGACCACACATACTGGACTGAATTCCATCCACGATATTGAAAGGATGGGACGGAATAGAGAACTCGACTGGGAGCTAAGTATGACGTGTAACAACACAACAGAGTGATGTTAATGATGACTATGCAAAAACAAGAGATTCTGGACCAGCTTACCTCGTCAACACAGATCCCCAGAAAGACTGAGTTCTGTTTCAGGTCGGTAAATCCGTGACGATAGATCTTTTCCTGGTCCAGCAGCGAGATGTCCAGCCCCACACGTTTAATGATGCTGGTGTACAACTGTAGAAAGAAACAGTTATGTTCACGATGGGTTCAGAGTTCACTTTTGGAGGACTTTTCATTTTCCCAAAAATCATAAGAGTATTATAGTTAGTTGCGTATCCTCTACAAGACGTTGTAGAACCAACCCCAGCATTTTTTGGCTGTTCTGGCAAATTTACGAAAATAATGTACACAGATAAAACTGGCTGTCACACAAAAATAACAATAAATGATGAAGAAATTGAAAATGTTAAAAACTTTGAATATCTAGACTCTATAAAAAACAGCAACAGAGACTGTTCAACAGAAATTAAAAAGGAGGATGGTCATAGCAATGCAAAGATTGAACAGCCTTAAAGTTATGTGGTTAAACACCAGTAACGAGATAAAAATTAGAATTTTGAGAGCATGCATCTTCCCTGTGGCTACATACGGATGTGAGTCGTGGACTATCTCTGAGTCCTTAAGAAAGAGAATAGGGGCTTTTGAGCTGAAATGCTATAGAAAGATTCTCAGAATATCTTGTACAAAGAAGAGGAAAAATATTGACATCTTAAAAGATCTGAACATCAAGGAAGATTGGCTAATAGACAGCATCCTGTCTCGGAAGCTGAAATATTATGGTCATATCAAGCACCACAACGGACTGGAAAAAACTATAGCAGAAGGCATGGTATGAGGAAGGAGGGGCAGGAACCGACCCACACGAAGATGAGCACAGGATATAAGTTACTCCTTGAGTATGAAAGTACATGGGGCAGGAGAACTGGCAAGAGACCGAGTTTCTTTCAGGAAGACTGTGATGAGAGCGACGTTCTGCAAAGGACCTGCTACATGATGATGATGATGAGTTTGCCATTGCCTCTGGACTGTCGGCTCTAGATACCACTGTCAGACCAACGCAAGGTGCAAGGTCAGCAGCTCGGTTCGAAGCCGGCATACCGGCATTACAAAGCGGGTTCACAACTACTAAGCAACAGAATGGTATACGAAAAAGTACCCACGTGTAAGTTCCAAATAATGTCGAATCCCTTTTTCCAGTGCAACAATATTTTAGTTTTCCCGTTTTGATGAGCAATAAGCCCAGTATCACATCGGCTGCCATTACTTCCTAAAACCTTTTCCGTCACATAATTTAGATTGAATCCTGGGTGCCAGACAGTTTTAACCCCTTCCGAACGGGGTTTGCAACCAGTGTATTCTGGCAGACAGTTTTAACCCCTTCCTAACGGGATTTGCAACCAGTGTATTCTGGCAGACAGTTTTAACCCCTTCCGAACGGGATTTGCAACCAGTGTATTCTGGCAGACAGTTTTAACCCCTTCCGAACGGTATTTGCAACCAGTGTATTCTGGCAGACAGTTTTAACCCCTTCAGAACGGGATTTGCAACCAGTGTATTCTGGCAGACAGTTTTAACCCCTTCCGAACGGGATTTGCAACCAATGTATTCTGGCAGACAGTTTTAACCCCTTCCGAACGGGATTTGCAACCAATGTATTCTAGCAGACAGTTTTAACCCCTTCCGAACGGGATTTGCAACCAATGTATTCTAGCAGACAGTTTTAACCTCTTCCGAACGGGATTTGCAACCAATGTATTAAATGTCTGGATCAGGATATCGTAAAAAAAAAAAAAAAAAAAAAAAACTGTTGTGCCAATTTCAGTCAGCTCCTAAAATGAGCAGCGACTTTATCTTGATGTCGTTTATTTGCTGCTTATGGAGACGCTTGTTTCTTTCCAGTTTTTTTTTTTTTTTTTTGGTCAGGTGATACTATTTCCTGTTGTGTATCTGTGTTTTAGGGAAGGGTTCGTAAACTTCCCTAAAAAGGGCAGTTTTTTGCCTGGGGCGGCTCTGGAACGGGTAGGGGAGGGAGTGAATTGAGTGTTAGGTGGTATTAAATGTGCCAGTTACTGCAATTATATACCACTTTTTGGCGGTGTAGGCAGGTTGTTTTTGTTTTGTTTTAGCCTGAGGATTTAGTGCCGCATGTCTATTGCTGTCGCCACGACTGTGCAAGGCAGGTTCCCTCCCCCTCCCCCCCCCTCCCCCGACTGAACAAATTCCAAGCCTCACCGAGGATTCGAACGCGGGTCTCCCGCATAAGAGCCTAGCGTTCTAACCGTGCGGCCAGCCGTTCCTTGTATATATGTGCACTTGGGTGAATAAGTTCGCGCGTGTGTGTGTGTGTGTGAGTGGATACACCAGAAAATGTGTAAATACAACAGATCCTCTGTAAAAAAAAAAAGAGAACACATATTTATTTTAGAGAATCCTCTTGTGGGCCTCATTGTAGGGGAAAAAAGAATAGACCCACTGCTTCCCTAAAAGGCATGTCGTCAGTGTTGACTAATTACTGGCATACTTAGAAATTAGAGTGCACAATGCCTCAGAGGCAAAGAACCAACAGTCTACATACAGATCAGAAAGATCTGTCAAACGGATGCTCACTTAAAACAAGTTCTGAGACAAAAGTGGACGGGCAACCAGAACTTACCGCTGGAGTTGGCAGTATATGAACTCAGCAGCAGCAGCAGCATCAACAACAACAACAACAACAACAACAAAAGAAGAAAAAGAATGTGATATGAGAAAAGAAACACGTGTGTTTGGGAACTATTCAACAGACAACAGTCCATCTCACATTGACGTTCTCCATTGTAGGGTTGCTTAAAATACCCTTGACGATGTCCACAACCTCCTGCACTCCCATGACGATGGCAGCGTTGATCATCGGCTCCAGAATGTCGTCTGTCAGCGCCATATTTGATGTGTACATGTAGGAGAATAGCTGTTCAAAATATATATGTAAACAACAGTTTATGTAGGTATTCAT